TCCCAAAACCTGAGCGTTGTTTTCTGACGGTTGGAGGTTGTGGCAGAGACGCGGGAAAGGTGACTGATCTCAAGCATCCGGGGTTGTCAGCGGGTTTGGGGACTCACTCAAGCGATCTCCTATCTACCTGGCACATAAGCGACTTGATGCAGGTAGGGTTCTTGGAGTTCTGACCCACTTCAGTGAACTAAGTTTTCGGAGTTCAGGAAGTGGGGTCTACGATCTGCAGCGCTTTCCTGATTGTGGGCAATGGCTTCGACGATCGATGCCGAGATGGTTCACGGCCTCATTGAGCTGGGCGATTTGGATGGATTGCAAAAGTTCACCCCTAAACCCTAAACCCTAAACCCTAAACCCTAAACCCTAAACCCAATGGCTACGGCTCAAGGCATTTGGCTTAAGGTTTCTCTGGGTTTGCTTTGGTGACCATCAGCTCGCTGATTCTCTCCTTTGTGGGGGTGGTTCGCGTGCTCCACCTCCTTTACACGACCCTGCGCTTCCTCACCGTGCTCCCTCGGGGTGATTCTGCTCCGTGTCTTCTACTCGATCCACCGGGGTGTCTTTGGGGCCATGCCGAGGAAGACATCGGGACCACACTCCCCAACGGAAGTCGTTGAGGACGACAGTGATGGGGATGCCGAGCTTCGAGAAGGGAGTGGCAATGACAACGATGATGATGACAAGACCGCGCCCTGTGAGAGCAGCAGATCTATGGGATGTGGTGGCGAAGACGCTGAACCTCGGCCCATGGCAGTAGACGTCGCAACGAATGGGGTGATCAGTCCATCTCGTGGCAAGCGACTTCGTGAGAGCGAGAACCAAACCAGGCCCAAGCGCCCTTTGGGGCGTTCACGTGATGAACCTCTTCACTCCGATGGTGGTGGTCCAGAACCTGGGGGTGACAATGATGAGGGGCGACCTGTCACCTCCAGGGAGATCCAGAAGTTGCTTGAGGTGCACCTTGGGCCGATCGCTGCTTCCTGGCGCGAGATGACGGGGCGTATCACCACCCTCGAAGAGAGCAGTGCCAGCAACAAGACTGAGCGCGAGAACATGCATCGTCGCGTCACACAAGTCGAGAAGAAAGGGGTGGCCACTGACGAGAAGGTGAAAGCCCTCGCTAAGGAAGTTGCCGAGCTCAAAAAGGGGCCCCAGCGGGGTGCCCAAGGTGGCACTCTTGATGCGTGGGCTGACTATCGTGCGAAGCATGGTCCGGCCCCTGGTATGCCTGGGGGTGTACAGCCTGGTGGAAGTCGAGGAGATCCCCCACCTCCCCCTGATGGTGGTCACAGGGATGAACTCTCGGAAGAAGACCGCCGGACATTGATTGTGGGTGGCTGGGCGCAAGATAGCAAAAAGCAGACCATCTTGGAAGAGAGCCGCACGTTCCTTGACCGCGACGGGGTGAAGAACCTTGTGGACCAGAAAGAGCTCATCGTTTGGGGCCCAAGACGCTCTTTCGGGGTGTTAAAGTTTCAACTTCGTGAAGGAGAAGAACCGAAAGAGATGCGCGACAGCATGTGGGGTGTCATACAAGCAGCTCGAAGCTCACCCGTCAGCCTCCCTTCGACGACGAACCTGGGGGTGACAAAGAACCTCTGGTGCAGCTTCACCAAGACGAGGGAGGCAAGGAAAAGGAGCGCCCATGCTTCTATGATACGACGTGTTTGCCTGTCAATGGTTGGGGATGCAAGGGCTAACTCTGAAGCCCACAACATGCTCGCTTGCACCGATGGGTCGTACGAGATTGACTGGGGGTCGGGCACTGTTTGGGTTGGCGAGTGGAAGCTGGGCTCAAGTGCACATCGCCAACCACGGGGTGAAGACGTCAAAGTCATTGGCTCTGGCTGGCTGGACCTCGCCGCGATCTCAAGAGCGACTGGGGTGGCATATGATGTGGCCTCGGCCGCATTTGAACGGGAACTGTGACCTGGAGAACGTCTCACCGACAGCCTCGACTTTGGGGGTGCACCAAGTGCTAACCCTCCTCGGGGTGCTACTGTGGCCAAACATGTGGGCTGTTCAAAACATGTCATGCGCAAGTTTGGGTCGTGGAATGTTGCTGGCCAGCCTATGTCGAAGATCGATGTTGTGGCTGGCTCCTTTGATTTACTTTGTCTCCAGGAAGTACAGCGCGGTGTTTGTGGATGGGATGAAAACCAAACCGATTGCTTTGCGTGGTTCACTCACAGGGATGCTCAACAATGGCGTGGCGTTGGGATTGGGGTGGCAAAGGACCTCTTCGATGCAGTGACTGATAAGGTTGCCTGTGGACGGGGAGCTGCATGGGTTGTTCGACTGAAGAATCACAAACGTTTGATACTGTGTTCGCTACATTGCCCTACCGGGGTGACCGTCGCGAAGTACCACAAGGACGTTCAGGACTTCAAGCAGATGCTTCGCAAGTGGCATCCTGACCTCCCCATCGTTGCTGGTGTGGATGTGAATGAACCTCTGGGGTGGAACAGTGAAAGCACGGAGGATGCCTTTATTAGCTCAGGGGCGAAAACTGACCGCCTGTTGGAAGTCACGTCGTCTCTTCGTCTTCGCGCCGTACTTTCCCAGGCGGATGAGCGACACCTACCAACACAATATTCCCGGGATGAATGTCGCGAAGGGAGGCACATCGACGCCGTCTTTGTCCGCCTGGTGGGGTGTGGATCGGTTCGGGTACGTGCTGACATGCGCCTTGAGATCAACACTGACCACGCGATGATGGAGCTTCTAATCGAAGTGGCTAAGACCAAACCTAGCACCTGGGTCGACACACGGCCTCGCTGGGTTGTGCGCGACTGTGATGCTCTTCCTCCCGTCCGCAACTTTGAGGACATCAAGAACATCGTTGGGACGTTCACTGCCCCTCTTCAACGTCGACGTTACTGTGAGGATGCTGAGCTAAAAGACATGATCTCCACCGCTAAACGCGCCCCAAGGGATGAAAAGAAGGAGCTGTGGAAACGCGTTCATCATGCCCGCCGTCATCGAAAAAGGGTGTGGCAACAGAAGCAAATCACGAACATCCTCTACGGCAATTGGGGTGAATATCGTGACTACAAACATGGCCTCAGAAAAGCCAGTTGGTGGGGTGGTCTCCTCTCGTCGAAAACCAGCACGGATGTGGCTGCTGAAGTACAAGACTTCTTGGGCAACAAGCTTTGGGACGTAGCTCGTAATTGGGACGTGGAACTTCGTCATCGCCTTGCTCAAGTCGCCTGTCAACCCGCCGACCTGGTCCCGGTCAACATCGAGGAGATCAACACCGCTCTGCATGGGATGAAAAACCGCTCCGCAGTGGGGGCGGATCGAGTCTGTGTTGATCTTCTTCGTCGCCTTGCTGTGGAGCAGCCCGTGGCCATGTGCGATATGTGTACCGAGATCCTCGCTGGGGAGACTCATCCGGATGATTGGGGTGTTTCGCTCCTTGCTCTTCTCCCAAAATGTCAAACCCCTTCACATCCGAAGGACCTTCGCCCCATTGCTATGGGTAGTGCCGCCATGAAAATGATGTCCCGCCTGGTCATGGGACGCACCTTCGGAGAACTGAGGGCACCCTCCTGCTGTGCTGCCTCCGGACGCGGACGACAGGCCGCTGACCTTATTGGGGTGTTCACTCGTCTACGTGATGTCTGTCGCGAATGGAGACAAGGGGTGATTGCCGTCAAGTTGGACGTTCGAGGTGCTTTCGACTTCATTGATCGTGGCTGCGTAGCGGACTTTCTACAGACACGACTTGACCACCCTGGGATGGCACATGAACTTCGGTTTCTACTGCTCCTCCTTGCGGAGAACACTATGAGTGGGGTGGCTCCAGGCGGGAAAGAAGTTGCGGTCAATGCCAACCGGGGCATCCGCCAAGGCAGCCCTGAGTCTGCAGAGCTCTTTGGGATGATCGTCGCCCATGAATTGCAATCTCTGCGCCTTGGCAGACGATGGAAGTGCAGCAAGGCAGGCCTCAAGGACATGCCCGTCGACGTGGGGTGTTTTCAGGACGATATCTTCCTGTGGGGGGACAACGCTGATAAAATCGAGAAGAATATCCAGCTCATCGCGATCATGCTCGCCAACCTCGGGTTGTCCCTCTCGTCTGACAAGACATGCATCGTCACCAACGCGCACTACAAGGGGAGGAGAACACTTCTGGCTGATGGTGAAATAGTGCAGTTCCGGCCCCTTGGTTCTTCCGTCCGGGTGCTGGGGGTTGACTTCGACTTTGACGCGGGGGTGAGCCAACAATGCCGTGAGATGATGGGTCGTACTTGGGATGCTTTTCATGCAAATAAAACGATTCTATGTGGTTAGTTAATTTCTCCGTAGGGGTTAAGGATTTGGCTTTCCCCCGGTTGGGTACAACCTGGTGCCCAATGCTGCAAACACACTCATAGGACCGTCTTTCATTGAAATTTCATGGAAGGGCATTTAGCAAGCGGGTGCGAGGGACAATATTGCCTCTGCTGCAAGCTGCAGATGCAAGTAAGCAGCAAGCCACTAGATTTTGAGGCAACTTTTTTCGCTTCCACGTCTACATGTAATCGAACATTCGACAACTGCTTGGATAAATTCCGGCTGACGACGGGACGACGGGATACTGTACTGGGTCTTGATTGATGTCGGTGTCGACGCAACAAGAAACTTTTGTTGCGCTTTCATGTAGGTTTTGTGTATGGTGAGGACGAAGACGTCTCCGGTCTCCGAAAAGGTCGGCCAGGGGGTGGTTGGGNNGGGTGCGGTGGGGTACGTTGGACTGGATGTGATGGGCTTGCCGTTCGGAGCAGGTTGGGATGGCGGACTCGAGAATTTGGTTTGGTTGGGTCGAGAGGTGGGCCCACGGGGATGTGTTGCAGTGTTGCAGGGCTGGAGTGACGGGCGGGGGCGTCGGGCGGCGGGCCGGCGGCGGGTGGGCGGGCGGGATGCGGCGGGATGAGGATTGAAGTTGAAGTTGAACCGCCGGCCGAGCCGGCCATCGGTCAAGCCACTTACAATCTAGTCTGCAACTGTGAGTCTGTGCAGCTTTTCCTACGACGAAGCATGTTGAGCTTGAGTTGTCCCTTGAATATGCAAGTATTGGAGCCGGCCACCGCCCTGTCAGTTGCTCAAATATGAGATAGATTCTACATGTCGTGTCGTGTCGTGTCACGTGCGCAGCAGTTTCTTGATTCACTAGGTTCTAGATTTTAGATCTTTGAAACTTATGCGGCAGCGATGGGACGGGCCGCACATGAGTCGCAGCAGAAGTTGACAGGCATTCCGTGCAGCAGAATTAAAGCAGTGTTGTTTCTTTCAGCTCCACATTCTCTCTCAAATTTCTCTATTTCAAGACAATACCAGGTACCAATCGGGGAAGGATGCTAAGCGCATTACATGTATAATAACGTAGTGAAATATAAGATAATCAGTCGAGTGGAGAAGTCGGCAATGGCAGTGAGCCTGAGTCGCAATGCTGCATCCCGAGCATCAGAGAACCCGCCGGCTTGTGTGGCTGGCTGCTCAAAGCGAGGCAGCCGCACGTTCAAACAAGGTTCAGGTCCCCAGCGATGCGAGATCGTTCCTCGCGGCTAAGCTGCGGGGATTGTTAGAGCGCGTGCCAGCTCTTGCAAGCACTTTTGAATCACTTGCGAAACAGACTTCAAGTGCAACATCTGCTTCTCAGGCCTCAGCGTCGCATGTTGCGCCTTTTGCAAAGGATGAGTACCACAGAACTGTTGATGCTGTGTGTCAGTATGGTAGCCAAAAAATCCTGGGGTTGGCCATCGTAGAGGTTAGCTTGGTTTACCAAGGGATTTTGTCCGCTTTGGATGTAGAGCAACGCTCTGTGCTTCAGTGCACGGTAGACACCTCGAGACGTGTTGGCAGCGTTTTCCTTCGCATTGTACATGCGTTGCCGCTTGCAGAGCCAGCGCAGGCTATCGTATCTGGTTGCAAATCATACGGGAATCAGAGAAGCTTTGCAATGACAGCCCAATGCATTGAGCACTTGTTGGAACGCCCAGTCTTTGAAACTGACTCTGAGGGGAGCGTGCAGACGATCACCGAGGAGATTGATAATTGGATGTATCAAGACAATTTCAACGACATTTGCCTGGAACAGCTCACGGAGGCCGATGCGGGTCCGCCATGTGCTGTGGTTGCAGCTCCAGTCCTTGCATTGTTGGCATGCCACGGATGCATTCAACATTTGGTTTTCCCTGCAAACTGTCGTTTTGCCCCTCACCGGTATTTAGATCCGATGACAAGCAGAATCCGCGAGATGAGCAACAACTTCCAACATGTTTTTCCACGCAGTGGCTCCCACCAGCTTGACAAAGAGACTGCGCAGGAGTTGGAGGGTGCATGTGTCAGCTTGGCAGAAGGCGGTCTTGACCGCGACATGCTGTTCAGTATCAGCAACACTCTTCGCGAGCACATAGCGCTTGCGAATACCGTTCCTGTCCCTCGCGATTTGGAGGCAGACCTACCTGAGCTTCCAGCTGAGGCCAAGCAGGTAGGCTTGCAGAGGCAAATCGTGTGGCTCGAAGGCTTGTTGAGGGCTACTGGCAAAGAGCAGGTGGCCAGATCCCGCTTGCAGCCGAGCACTAAAGGTTTTCAAGGTGTCTGGGATAATGAAATGGGGTGCAGGGTAACTTATAAGCCAGCCTTCCTGCTGCAATGCGTCGTTCTCTCCTTCAATTTGCGGAGCTCCGAAGCACTACCCGAAGTCATCAACACATCCTTGCAGTGCCTCCCAGATTTTTGGAAAGAAACCTTGAAAAGCTTGTTGGCTTCAGCCCACACTCCAAGCCCCAGTACAATGACACGTGCTAGACTTTCGGTCGATGTTGGCTTCATGCTGTTCATGCGAAACAGGCATTCGAAGCTTCTACAAGATCCCAAGGTAACCTTCTTTGTAAAGGTCGACTCGACACCGCTGGGTGAAAACAATTGGGAGGTTGTTGAATATCAGTTGGTTGAGGGTGCCAATCTTCTGCCAGCAGGCGACAGGGCTCTCGCTATGGCCACGTTGGGATCAGGGCGCAAGAAAGCAGAGTTGTCTTTGCACGAGGCTGAGGATCTGACAAAGTGGACCCAAGAATTGTCAGGCATGATCGACCACCACATTTTGCCGTTGGGCGCTTTGGGAACACGGCGGGGCAGCGTTGCCCATATCGTGCATAGTATTCTGTACAGATTGAGATTAGAAACTTACGGGTGGGATGATGTTCAGAAGTTTACTTCTTGCACATTTTCGCTTACGGCGGACCAAGGCACCGAGGCAAAGGTAGGGGATGTAGAAAAAGTGGACTTGTCAAAGAACTTTCCGTGGTGGCCTGCTGCTGCGGATGCATCTCTCCAGCCGGTTTTTCAGGAGGATCCCTTGCTCGATGGATGTGACTTGGCAGATGAGTCCATCTTGTGTGAGATTGATCCAGAGACGGCTCAGGCAGCACTGCAGGCTGAGGGGCAATCGGTCAGCGGTTTCGTTGACAGTGTTCGCATCCCGCCTCATTTTCATATCATCGACAAGGTTTCCAATGCACTTCTAGAAAGTCTTTCATTGTCTTGGCCCAGGATACAAGGGCAGTTCAAAGCTGTAGTCATTTTTTTCCATGCAGCGCACACTCGGAGGCATTTTGTGAAGCTTTGCCTACCGCCTGCGCTCCATTTCCTGTTCACGAGTGGTCCTCCTGCGTGGGA